TTATAGCAACATATATAAACCTTTCCTTTCGTTCTTCCCCTACCCCCTAGCACTCTCCCTCTTACCAGCATTGAGCATAGCCCAGCTAGCGCTCACTCATTATGGAGAAGATGCTCAACCACACCATCTGGGGAGAAAGAAATGTTAAGACAACTTGGCTGTTAGCCATCTACTGAAGGTGCCACAGGTCCCTTTCTATACTGGCATATCTGCTTGTCTTTTATCTGTCTCCTGAAGGAGAACTCTGACCCACAAAAACAAGTGCTCTCATTGCATCAAGTCTATATCCAGATCACAATACTGTGGAAGAAATTGTCTCTTCACTAATTTGTCAGAATTCTTAACCACCAGAGGAAGTTAAATGCAGGGCATGAATTCACCAGATGGTGGGTGTCAAATAAAGGTTTCTCACCTAAGACCATACCACTGCTGCTTCCTTTGAGAAGCTGGCAACCTGACCTCATTAAGGGGAAGTATTTACCATTTCCAATAATACTGAACCGAAGTTCCCTAGACACCTGCACTTGGGAAGCACTGGCAGCTGAAGTTTAAGTAAAGGTAGTATAGCATTTGTCCCTCCTGTCTCCATAGGTGCACACAGTTCAGGCTGATCCTGAGCAATTTTTTTTCCTCTGTGAAGTAATAACTAGTAAGTTCTCACAACTCCTGTCAGCTGTTGAGTGGTGAACATTAGGGTTTACCCCTATGCTTGCTCCTAAAAGCATATCTGCTGATTGAGCGTTTGTAGCTGTTACATAGTGGCAAAGAGACTCACCTACACCCTCCACATAGCAAAAGCATAAATGTGGAATGTTTCTGACTTAGTCTTATATTTTAAATTAATGGGTCACTATAATGCAACATTTTTCTTTTTATATGATTAATACCAGTGGAGGTTCTAGAATCTGTATGTTCTGAACAGTGCACTGAGCCAGTCCCCATCTGCTTTCTTCTGAATTAACATAAATTGCCTTTAAAGAGAAAATTAGCCATTTTGAATGAGTCAAAGATGTCTCTGCCAGACAAAGTCCTTAAGGATGTCATGACCCGAAGGCATGATTTTGTGTGTGCTTCGGCACCAGAATTATCCCCGCCAAGTTGCAGCTTCATTGCACGGGAGAGTTTCCTGTTGCAGAGGAAAACCCCGGTGCAGGGACGAGTTTCTCACCTTTCTGCAGCTTCCTTTGCAGAGTGCATTGCTCAAGTTACAAGAGGAATGCACGGTGCAAAAGAGTTCCCGCCACCCGTATGCAAATTTGTTCCCCGCTATTGGCTAGTTTTAAATTATTCCCACGTGGCGGCTAGCGATTGGCCTGTTAGCCGTATAAGAGGCTTGAGCAGTTTCCGCCCAAGCCGAAGAGGACTCCACATCCATCTCGTGGGGGCTCTGGCTACACGGCAGGGTAATAGAGACCCTGTGTGAGATTCAGAGGAGCTTGGCGACCTGATCCATCGCCCACCTCTTCCCGTCTTCGAGCGCAAATTTTATAAGACGTATCTCCGATTCCGATTTTGGTGGCGCGTTCACCCAGAGCATCCGGAGCTCTGTTCCGTGGAGCCTAGCAAACTCCACGTGACCGCCCGTGTTGTCTGTGTCTGTAACTGCAACTCAAGCAAGTTTTCCAGCCTGCACCACTGCCATCTCGGTGTAAATAAACAATCTTTAAAACTACCACTAAGCGTTTGTGCCTAATTCCAGCTCGTTGCCCTCCCTCTCCGATCCAGCCTGCCCGGGCTGCTGGCCACAGCCCGCGTGCAGCACGGAAAAGGGCCCGGGTTGCTCCCGGCCCGCACAAAGGAAAGGAGAGAGACAGAGAGAATCAAACAGTGGCTAAGTCTTCAACATGTGCTTAGTAAATGTAGTCCCCTGTCTACTCCATTAACTAGCTATGTGCCACCTGCAACTCTAATTAACTGAATTAAGTTTTGGTTAGAGTTCAAACTTGAGTCCTAACCAGAACAAGAATAGAGCAAACAAGGCCAAAATTGTGGAAGATCTTCATCTTCATTAGCTGAAATCTTAAATGTCTTCTATTTTATTGTTAAAAAAAATCTTCCTTTATTATTATTATATGTAACCTATCACCACAACCAAAAATGGGTGTGGTCTGGCAGTTATCTCTACTTTTTAGCTCAGTGCTATGAGCTGAGTTTCCTTTTACAGATCCAGTTTTCCTTATGCTTGGGTTGAATCCAGTGGTGGTAAATCAGGCAACAAAGGTACCTGTAGATGAAATCTATGTTGCATCACACAGCTGTGAGTAAAAGAACCAAACTAAAGCTATTTCTTATCCATACAGAAGGACCCTGCATTTGAAGATGATCTAAATTTTAGTGCTAATCCTTGTCATGGATGAATCAAAAGCCTGGCAGAATATGCTATGTTCCTATCACTGGGATGGCTCCTGTGGGCTGGAAGGTCTGGTCTTAAAAGTCTTTTGGAACTCACTCGAGGAAAACTTCAATTGGAGCTGAACGCAGCATGTTAGATTTGAGACTTTGATTATTCTGGGCCTGACAGGCCTCATGGAGATTTCATTGCCTCTGGGCAACATCTGCAGTGAAGCCTTGTAACAAAAGGATTGAGTGGCCTCACAGGGCTCCTTGATAGCCTGCATTGCATTAGAAGGATGATGTGGTTACGTAGTCAGAGTAATTAATTGGCATTTCCATAAGCAGTTGCAAGTCCTGTTAACCTTGTAAATGCAGGAGTCAGGAATGAGGCACAGATGTGGAGTTCTGAAGATGAACTGTGTGCGTGTGTGCATGTTCATTTCATTTGAATGAATGAGCGCCACTAAATTTTTTAAAGACCAGCCTTAATATAACAGGATCCAAAATGCACCCAACATCTGTTACCTTCTCCATGGTATCTTTTTGCTAACTGGACATATGATTCTGCCATAAAAGAAGGTGCACTGATGAGTTGAACGACACAGCTTTTGGTCAGTCCTGTTTTTTCCTTGTTTGTGACCAAGAGCCTTGTGGATCTCATTATTTTCTCTGCAACACAGGCTTTTGCTTGCCTAGAATGAAATGTTCTACTTCCAGCTTATTCTTGTAATAAAGACTAAGTTTTGTCTGGGAATCATATCACATCCCAATATCAAGAGAACTGGATATTAGGTCAGCTCGTTACACAGTCTGGGGATCAAATTTGGCCCTATGTAAGCTAAAGCCCCAGCCAAAATACTAATTTTGGTGGACCCTTTGCCTGATGAAGGCTGTCCTCATCTGTTTCCATTCCTCACCCATCTATTGCCCTTTCAGTGCTTCCCAGTCATCTGTTCAATTTGCCTCTCCTCCCATCTTTTTAATAGGGTGGGGAATTGGTTTATTTTTTGGACAGATCACCCTTTTCTCACTGGTTCTTCAGCGCCCTCCTCCCCCCCTCCATGCACACACACAAGTAGAATTAGAGAGAGCTCTGCTTCCTAAATGTTGGGCTTAGCGAAGTGAACAACATCTTCTCTGGATGCCCTCACATTAAGAGGTGAGGTTGTTGTTCTGTTTCCCTGTTTAATTAGGGAACATGTTTCATTCCCTGTTTAATTTGTGGACATGCACATTCTATTCTTAGTAACAGTTTCTAAAGGTTATTAAAATGCAAGGGATAGCTAGATTAGGGGTAGCTGGTGGCCCATGTCTAGGGATGGTGGATGTTCAAAATCCTTGTTCTGATTGACCAGCTGGGCCAGTGCACACCCGTTCAAACTGATGGAGTTGAGGCTTTCTCACCAAGATCAGAGGAGAAGCCTTCCAAGCACGATGCTGATTTTAAACAAGGAATAAGAAAGAAAGTGCCAGGTGAGTCCATTAGAACTTGATCTGCTTTGGCTGAATCCTGAGTTAAGTATCTAGCAAGAAAAAAAAAAAAATTTTTTCTCCTTGTTATTGAGCTTTTGGCTAGGCCATCCCTGCCGTCTGAAAAGTGTTTTAAGTTCTCCAGTAAAGTGGCAGGCCTTGAACGCTAAAAGCCCAGATCTCTCATGTGTCTTTCTATTGCCTCTGGTGCCACAGAATTAATTGGTCGGCAATATTAGGTCTCTAGTAACTTTCAAAGCTGTATATCTTTCCATTTTTATAAGCTGGCAACAGACAAAGTTAAGAACCTTTTTTAAAAAAAATATTGTGAGGACTCTGGAATCTGTGCAGCTGTGTCTTGTACCTTTTAGTGATGATGTAAGTTACATGCCATGTTAGGAAAGGGTGTGGGGGGAACTGGGAGACCCACCAGTAGTGCCTAACAGTTATGAAAAGCTTGTCTGCTGCATAGTCAGATTTGGTAGGTTGCATTTCCCAGTTATGAGAGTCAGTTCTTTGTAACAGAAGGCTGCAGCTGGTTCCCAGCTAGTTCTATGTTAAGCAGAACTCTATCTGCATTTTCAGATTCACTTGCTGGGATCAGTTATTCATGTTCCTAAGGTCGAAGGGGAGTTAGAAAGATTCCAGCCCCCATGCTGAAGATCACTTTGTTTAAGTTCTGAGCAGATTTAAACCCCCGAGGGACACTGCTGCCTGCACAGGTTCTGAGCACTGATATGCTGAACAATTTCATTTCAGGTTTAAGCCTTCCCAACACCCTGACCCAGTGCACCCTGTCTGTGCCCTTCATTTAACATCATTGGGGGACTTCCACTTGGTAATACATGACAAATTACCATACTCCTTTGAAATAAGCCACCTAAAAATAGTATGCGACTACCACTAGGCACTGCCTCCCATCTTACTGCCACTGCTACCTTCTTACTATGATCTTTGTAAAGGGTGGACCCCCTAACCTCAAAGCTTATTAAACCCTGTTCTTTGGGCAGTAGCAGTTGGGACTGGACCAGGGAAATCTTCACTTTTAACATGTCCTGTAAGGTCTGGTGCAGGCTCCCTTATTCTTTCACCGAGCACAGGTTTGAATTTCTGTCAGCAGATCAAGTGCCAATTAAAAAGATAGGGATAGAAATGCTTATACTATGCGACTCCAATGAGTTATATTTATCACTTACTCATCTCCTATGTAGAGATTGGGCCAGACTTCATTGACATGAGTATACTTTGGGCTGCCATGCCAGAAGAGTCTCTCCAGTTCAAACGCGCCTGGGGTATAATAATCCGCATCAGGGTCAACTTTGACTGCCACGTAGGCACTCTTCTTCCTGGTGTTCAAACCCGCTGACGACATCTTGTTCCAAGGTGCTTATTTTGTGTTTGAAATGTGAAAGTAACTAAAATGCAATCAGAAAAGGATTATAAAGCTGGAGGATTAAAATGCCAGAGCAAACAAGTTCCTCTCCAGTAAAGGGACATCCACACTTTGTACCATGGGCTGCATCTTTGCCAGTGCACCTGTATTTGGATGCACGTGATCCTTGGAAGACACAGACCCATAATTAGTTTTTTTGCACTTCAAGGTTCCCTGAGAGAGAAGTAGAAGCAGCTTGTTGGAAAAAAATGTCAGTAGCAAAAAATGAAGCAAACAAAACTTAAGGGGGTTTTTCCGAAGTATTCAGTATTGGCACAACTCTGCTCTCACTAGCAATATTGCCATTGACTTCCATGGGTGCAAAATTGGGTCAATCTTGATTACATCTGACAATATCACTCCAAAGCATTCAAAGAAGAATTCTAGAGGAATATAAGATAGACTTATAATTAGTTATTAAGAGGAGACCAGAAGGGTTGAATTCGTCCCTCAGTGTAGACTTGGGTTGTCCTTATTAGTCTTTAAAATTCTTAAGGCAACTCTGCATATTGACCAGAAGTGATTATTTCCAGACATGCTAATTTCTATATTGGGAACACTGGACTTACAACCATGTAACTAACTGAAAGGCTGCCTGTGTACTTGAAAAGGCTACAAACTAAAAAAAGGGAAAACAAAGGGAATAATAATCAGCCAAAGAGATGCCTTAATTTTCATTTGCAATCAAAGACCACTCTTCTCACTCCTCACTGTAATATCCAAACAGTACTTGCTGACACAGTGTGTCTGAAAAAACCCTAGTGCAGTTGTCTTAGTTTGGTTCTGAGTTTTTGTTTCATGCACAAGCTTCTCTAATGGTTAATTGGTACAGACAGCTCTGTCCAATGGCAATGTGTAGGGGGTGCACGCGGGTGCACATTTACCCCCTGAGATTGGTGCACCCCCTGCGATCGGCTACCACTGCCG